GGGGCGGGATGGCAGGGACTCCCCGCTCCCCTTGCGGACACCCGGGGAGCGGGGGGGCGGTGTGAAGCGTGCACTCCGCTGCCCTTCTAATTTAAAACAGGTTGAAACGTGTTTACTCACGAAAATCTCCCTCCCCCGGCAGACGCTTCAGCCCCGGTGCGTGGGATACTGAGGGAGCGTTTAGGCTGGCCCTGCCCGTCAGGTCCCGGCAGGAGGGTCAGGGTCATGGGCAGGGGGGGAGCTGGGGACAGATGGTGGGGGCACCCATCCTGCCACCCCACAGCACACCGCTGCTCTGGCAGGGGTGCCAGAGAAGGAACACACCCACCTTCCTAATTTGGTGGGGCTTGTTGGTAACAGGTTTCCTGATGGACCTTTTTTAGCCCTCGTTAGTCGTCAGGACTTCATGGTGGTTCACCACAGGATCCTGTGGCGTAGCAGCATTCTTATGAAAAGCATTGTATTGCCCAGTATTTTAAAAAGGTTGGATACTTAAAAGTGTTTAAAATGCAGTTTCTGGGTGTAAAGCCCAGAGATCAGGTTCATGTGCTAGAAAGGGAGAAAGGAAGGACCAGCATTTTATTCCTTTTAAAATCTCCTTCCATCCCTCTTTTTCTGTATCTTATTTTCCTTTCAGAATGCATAATATTTCAAACCCTCTTCTCAGGCCAGAGACGGAGATTGAAGCTGCAATTACCTTCTCTTCACAGACCTGGTGAAAGACTGACAATGCCAGAGAAATTAGCAAGGAGGCTCTGTGAACTGGAGCTGGAATTGATGGTGTATGAGATAGGAAAACCTGGCTGGTACAGCCCATATTCATCAGCCTTGTTGACAGTACATACAGAGTTATGTCATTTTTATATGTGCATTTTAGAAGGGTCTTGGAAAGCTTTTAAGGTATTGCAAATATTATGATTCAGATGTGTTTGGTAAACTAGAGGTCTCCCACCTGTTAAAGGGCAGGATCCTTTGCTTCTGAGGGGACGGCAGGCAGAGAAGTGGTGCACCCCTGTGGGATTGTGGAGTTTGGCAGCAGGTTACAACATTGTGAAACTCCGGTTGTGTTTGGCATAGATGTTGCTTTCTCAAAATGAGTTCACCTGGCAGAAGATACAGCACAGTTTTACATGGGTTTGAAATACAAAAATAAACAATTAAAAAAAAAAAAAAAGTTATGCCCACCTTTAAGAAGACAATCAGAAGTCCAGGTGACCAAAGACCAGTCCACCTCACCTCAGGCCCTGAGAAAACTTTGGGGCAAGACCTCGTGAAGTCTTACATGCAGTTTTGGTGGGTAGTTAGAAGGGGCATTCCTCAGGAGTTGATAGAGGCCAGCACTGTACAACATCTTCACTGATGCCCTCAGTGACAAGGTGGCGTCCAGCCTCAGCGAGTTCCCAGACAGCACCAAACTGGGAGGCGTGATCAATACGTTGGGAAGCTAATTTGAGAGTGAAAAAGAAAGAGGAGGGTCACAGAATGGCGGAGCAGGAAATAAAGACATGTTTTGAGTGATAACAGCAAACTCAGTCTGAAAACCTCCTTTATGTACTTTTCATTAAATCCAAAATTATTATTAGAAAATACTAAATGCAAAAGATGTGAATTTCTGAGACATTGAGCTGCAGTTTCAATCCAGCTGAAACCTAAGAGTGTGCTTGCTGATTTTAGGGCCCCACCTATCATGCCTATTGTATCTGTAGAACTATTAAATTAACAGGGTAGTATCACCCTAAACCATATTTCTTACAGTATTTGCAGATTAATTTTAGTGGTGCAATATAGACTCTGTATTTCACCTTAAATTCAGTTTATCTCTGCAGTACGCTTTTAATACTTGTGTTACACACACATAGTAATTGAGGTGTTTGTATGTTGGATGGGAGAAGCTTTCCCTGAATGCACAGTTTCCTGACATATCCTGGAAATAGGTTGTGCCCAAACAAAGAGCTGGAGGACAAGCAATTTGTAAATGAAAGGAGCACAGTCAGAAAACTAATAAGGGTGAGATAAAGCATGTACAGTTAAGTCTGCCTTCAAGTTCCAGGATAAATAGAAGAAAGAAGCTGTGATGAGTAGAAAAGTAAGTATGTTAGTGCCACCCATCCTGGCTTCCTTCATTTAGTATTATGTCCTGCTCTCATCACGCAAATAATTATTCTCTTTTCTAGGATTACCTACCTGTGCCCAGGCTGTGGAACAGTCTGTTGTCTCTGAACTTGCCAATGGACTGTGTGAGAAAGGATGAGCCTTCCAGAGGAAACCTGAACTGTGCTGTTCCAGGAGACCCACGCAGCGCATAATAAATATTTTCTTACCTTTTATAAACACATGAGAAACAGACACTTCTCCCCACTTTTAGTGCTTTGTTACTCAAATAATGAGCACTTCTTTCCAAGCTTATCTGAGCTCAAGTTAATCAATCCACAGTTGGATTGGAATTTATTTCAAGTGTGTGGGCTGTGGGATATTTGACATGATGGGCTTAATTTCTGAAGTGCTCTGGATTGTCTCTAATATTTCCAAACTCAGTCTTGACTTTGTTTTTCAAATTCAGCAGATAATAAAGGTGAGAAGATGTATTAGAAGTTGCATGTCATGACGATACACGGTTGCTGTGTTGCAGCCACAACATACATACATGCACATGGAGAGCAAGTACAGAAATGTTTGTTATGAAGTTGCTGGTAGAGTTTTTACATGCAAGCAGTTTGGTTGTGGAGTGTAAGGATCAGGTTTTTGCATAGGGTAACTTCTAGCAAAATGGACAAATGTTACTTCTAACTTGTATTCAGAAGAATCAAGTCCAGATGAGATGCATGGCAGAAAAAATACTCCTTTTCCTAAGGATTTTTTTTTTCCTCTGTAAGCTTTGCAGGCCCACTGTGAGGAAAAACTGACATTCCTGGCAGGTTTCACCATGTCAGACTCTATTATTCATGTAATAAAACATAAATGTGTTTGATACTGCCAAAAAACACAACAATGTCAGATTTGCGTAGTAAATATAAAGGATTTTTTAACTGAATCATTGATTTAGGTATTCTTTAAAAGAGGGCACCCTCCATTTACAGTGTACCAGGAAATGAAAGAATTTCATCCTTGAACTTCTGTTCTACTAAAATATAACTGACAATAATGTATGATAGATTTTGCAAAGCTATGATCGAGTATTTTCTATATAGAATATAGAAATATGTATCTATATAGTATATAGCAATTTTGCTTAGGATGAGATAAATAAAAATGTAGCTGAATGCTAACTTAAACCTAGGTACAAAATATATGCAGGAATCCTTAGAGCTGTTTATTTTTTGCTACCTTTATCAATACTTTCTCAATTTTTGACACATTAAGGAAGAGCAAAACTCAGCTTCTAAAGGGACATTTGCTCATGTAAACTCTGCAGAGAAATAACCTTATGTATAAAGCTTAGAACTTCAAAAATTAGTACACATCCTGACAACTCGCATGAGGTGTACTCAACTAATGAATAGTACTGGCTGTTAAATTTTCTGCAGATTCACTTTTCCTCATAAAAAAATCAGATTAGCATTATTTTAAATACTCTCTCATAGAAGAGTAGGTAAATTTAGACTGGAAAGACCCCTTGGGGTCACCCAGTTCCATACCTGGCTCAGAGTTGGGCTAACTGCAAAGTCAGACCAGGCTACAGATGGCTGAAAATCTTCTGAGGTAGAAAAAACTTCTGAACTTCTGAAAATCTGCAGGGGTGGACATTCCCCGGCCTCTCCATGCAGTCTTGTCCAACACTGACCCACTCTCACCAATTTCTTCTTCCTGTCTGGTCAGAGCAATTGTCTCATGTCCTTTTGTTGAGCACTTCTAAGAAGGATTTGTCTTCTCTATAGCTTTCCCCATAGGTAGTGAAAGACTGCAGTTTATTTCCCTTTGCCTTCTCATCTCTAGGCTGAACAAGCCAAGTTCTCCTGGCTCTCCTCATGGTTCGTCAGCAGTCAAAAATTTGAAAAGATGCTTTTGGTGAGGTACGAAGGGTTATTTAAAAGCAAAAGCTCTATCACAGAAAGAGAAAACAAAAAAGGAGACTAATAACAACATTGCAATAAGGAATTTGTATGAAAGTTAAGTGTAAAAATAGAATTGTTTACAAAACCAAGTTTATCACTTAGTACTTTATGTAAACAAAACAATGTTCTAAAGGAAACTTAAACATACACAAAATCATGGCTCCTTGCCCTAAATTTACTCACTATATTTATGTTTGTAATAATTTAATGCTCACTGAGACTATCTAACTGAGAATGTAAAAGGTCTAGCTGCTGAAACATCCCTTTTTCTCTGTCATGAAGATAAAATTATTTTGGATTTGAGACTCCATTTGAAACTGAGTAGCTGCTTTATTTACTGTGGTCCTCCTTTCCCATGAAAAATTTGCAGGCATTAATTTAAGATCAATTCTATGGTAACTGTAAGATCACTTTCTTGAATGCAATAGAGAAGCAAATTGAATAGAAATGGGAATAAATACCCAAAACAGGGCTGTCGTCTTCCCCAGACCAAGTTCTGTAACCAGAATTCAGTCTAAAAATTTGGCCCCTTTTTCCTCAGTAACAGGAGAAAGTATAAGAGCTAAACTTCTATGGAGCAGCCAATTCTCTATTAACCAGTCAACCTCTAATATTTTTTGTATGTCACTGTCAAGGAGAAGATAAAACGGGCTTGCACAAGTACTAGCTTCTTGGCAAAGACTCTATCCTGAAAGAAAATAGGATTATTCTAAACCAAATCCAAAATACACTTTATCCCTAGAAATATATTGTGACTGTTTTTTCATCAACTGCTGGCAGACATCTAGTTTGCATAAAGAAACAGTTCCTGACAGTAATTCAGGGTGGGTTTGTCTTTACAAAGTTTAAACTATTTTCTAAACTAAAGTCATTGCTATCGGCTTTGAGCAAGAAGATAATGCCACTATGGTGTGCATGTGGTTGAAATTTACCTGTAGTCAAGACATTTCACTTCACACTCTATGCTGCTTAAATTAATCATTTATTGCAGGCAAATATAAGAAGAAATAAAAAAATATTACTAATAGTAGTGTTCCTGCTACTACTTAAGTACTTAAGTTGTGGAAGTCCCTAGAAATACCAAGTGAATACCAGCTCAGTGGGTAGAAAACTAATGAATATTTACATCCTCACAATTTACAATCTAGCACTTCCATCTGATACCATCTTAGAATCATAATGAACAAAAAAAGCTGAAAGCTTTGCTCACTTGGACATTTACCATGACCTTCTATCTCTTTTTTTTTTTTCTATGAACTTCCACATACTCTTTTTTGTCAAGAAGAGCTTCTTAATCAGACACATGCACAAACCATGAAACAACAATCTTTATGCAGCTTTCAAGCTGTTGGCTTTTTTTTTTTTTTCCAGTGAGAAATTGAATTTAGAGCATACAGCTACTGCCTAATAAAATTGAACTCACTTTTGGTCGGCATAGTCATATGTCTTTGAACAAATACATTGTGAAAATCTGTAAACATCAGACACCAGGTTTCCAGGACACCAAGGCATTTTTTGAAAGGGAAAAAAAAGGATTTAATAAAACAGGCAAAAATGGATCCATCATTTCTAAGTAGTCTGTGCAGCTTGCCCTAAAAATTGTGGCAGCAGCTGTAATTATTAGCTGTACTTACTGCGGGACAGAAAGTGTATGTCAGGGGAGGGGAGAACCCTTCAGCCTTTCAGAAATTATCCCCTCCATTCCAAAACAGTCCTTCAATATCCTAGGACCACAAGGTAGTATCCTGACCTCTGGGGAAATCATGGAAAAAACCTGCCATTCAGCTGAGAAGAGCTGAGGCTTCTATGCTCTCCTGGAGCAGCGTCATCCATTCATGTTACAGAGCTATCAGAAAAGCTGCCATATGACAACTAGATCCTAATTTCTCCCATGTTTGTTTTTACTCTGCCTCGCTTCAGAGGCATATAGGCAAAGGCTCAGATTTATGGGGAAGATAGATAGAAAATCATGACATTTTCAGAATTACTGAAAACCCAGAAGTGCTCTGAAGTATGTAAGAATTAAAACTGTGTTCCTGATCTTCTTTCTATTGTAGGAAATGGCTGTTCTTATTACCCGCTGGCATCTGCTCGGTTCCCTTATTCTATGGGCTCCATCCATCCATCCTTCCTCCATGTCTATTATCCCAATCAATTGCCTACAGCTCTGCCTGCCTCATGGACTGTGTTTTTCATCATCTCCTATTTCCACAACTCCTGCCCTTTTCCTTCACGACTTCTCTGCTGAATGGCTTTTCTGTTAACACTTTACAGTTTCAGTTATTTTTCTCTTTTTCTTACTATGTCCGGATCTGATTCTTTCCCCACGCCTCTCCAACAAAAATAGTTAAGTTGGAAACACAAGAGTGTAATGTTTTCCCTGTTCTTTTACTTATTTTTTTTGCCTAGGCACCCGTGACCTAGATGGGATATTGGGCTGGAGGGACTTAGCCTCTGATTCAGCCTGGCCATTGCTGTGTATGGTTTTCATGAAACGCCAAATCCTAGCACCATCCTGGCTTTCCCTTTCTCTCTTGAGCTCAGCTGCTGTACGTGGTATAAACACACAGAGCTTCCTCAACAGCACTTGAGACACAAAGCATCAATGAAAGAGCCATGCAAGGTAGAAATCAGCAAGAGAAAAGCAGCAAATACTTATTCTATCTTGTGAGGGTCATCAAATATGAAGTGCTTCCTTGCAGGAAGAAATCAAAATTATTATCCAAGTGGCTATCAAGTAAAAATTCCTGGAGCCAAGCAGCACTGCAGGTTCGCAGTCATAATTTTACCTCTTGTGGGCCTGAGCCTGACATGCCAGCAGGACCTCTAGTCCCAGAGGAGAAGGAGGAACAAACTGGCATGAAAGGTTACAGCATGGCCCAAGTAAGTTAGACCCTCTGAAGCAGCTACAGGCTTTGAACTCTCGATAGTGCTGAGGCTCTGATGAACCTCCACCAAGAAATTAGAAAGCTCCCACCATACCATTGTGCCATTTCAAAACAAAGACAGGATAAAGCATTTGGATTTATGCAAAAACTCCTCTCCAAATAATCAATGTTTGAAAGAATCAAATATTTCCCTGAATTCCCCTCAGACAGTCCCATTCTAGATGAGTAACGAGAAATTAATCATCCTGTCAGAATAAATGCTGCGAGACCTTTTAGTCATGCTCACCCCTTTCTCCGTAATAGATTTTTGTCAGTCATTCAACCAAATCTCCCAAAAGACAGCACTGCATCCTGACTCCCACCT